GGAAGCTGGATTCAGCTTTTGTCCTCACGTTAAAAAATGTTGGTCCTGCTGGCTGAGCTAGCCGCAGGCTTGAACAAGGTAATGCAGATCAGCAGAAGGTGCCGAAACATGAATCTACGGCCTATAATAAAATTCAGTGTCTTGCTAATGTAATGTTTCTATCACTGTATTGCAGCAAGGAGTAATTAAAGCTTCTGAAGAGTTGCATTAAAATGAGTGCATCTAAATTATGGTAATTAAGGATAAAGGATGAAGATATGTTTCAGTAGAAGGTGAGATGTGAAGGATGCAGATTGGGGCAGATGGGGCATCGGAATGAAACGTGTAGAAGGAAGTGTAGTAGTCTGATGCAACGTGGAACAACAAAAAATGGAAAGATTATATTTGGAGTGGGGCAACAAGAGAATGTGGGAGGGACGAAGACAGAGAAAATGTGCCGGAAGAGGATTTTTCCGCAGATTTGGAAGTCAACCCCATCAGCGAAATTGGGGTGTGTGGAAGCTTCGAGCTGGGGTTGGGAGATGGCACTTCAGGACAGAGAAATAAAACCGGTGAACTGTCACTGATTAAGGACGCTTTTTATTTTTTAAGGCTATTATTTTTTTGTGAATAAAACGACTGAATATTGAATTTTTGTTAAAATTCATCATCTTTGTTTTAAGTTAATTATATATTTTTGTACATTACTTAAAAATAAGCGTATTTTTACCATAAACTTTAGTTCTCTTTTCTAATTCTGGTACTCTGCAGGCACCAAAAGATTAACATAAAAACACGACCCTCAGTCTGGGTTCAAAGAACTTACTTCGATGATGCTGATTTACCACTTTTCCATGATAGAGAACGCCTTCATCCAGAAGAAAATCAATACATAATCCCCATAAGCCATTGTGGTGCTCATCCATCCTCTGAGTAGGAAAATTGTATACAGGCAAGAGTACAGAATTAATTTTCTCCGATAAACGAAATATCTCACCGATATTTACACTCATATTGGCACGGCATTCGGGTGAGAGCCGACGGACTGGGAAGCATTTGGGGAATCTTGTAACTCCATCGTGTTTGTTGGAGCTCACAGCAGTCAGTAATTACACGAAGGTATGGCTATGATGAAAACAGCCCAAACTTCTTCGAATTTACACCTCTCAAGCATTGTATGAGTAGTGACGTAGTAGTGATGAAGAACTTTCAAGTGCCTGCTTTACAAGACTCTCCTATACCAAAATGCTGTATGCATTTATTGTATCTCTAAAGTCAGCAGCATGCCCAGTTCACTGTAGTCTCCTTAATTGTATTATCCTAAAAGTATTAGTTGACTTAAATATGTAACCCACTGAATTCCTAGTTACTTAATACCTTACATTTTACACTTACATATCTTTGGCAGGAATTTATTAACGTGAATTTTGGTTTCAAACGCTTTTAGAAACACATGAGGGCAATGAACAAATCGTAAAAAGATTGTAATTGGATGGCCTAAAAGGAAGACACTATTTTAAAGACCTAGATGTACGTGGGAGGATAATATTAAAATGGTTTTAAAGTAACTAGCTGATAGGGTGTGAATTGCATTAATATAATAATAATAATAAATACTGGGATTATGTGGAAACTAGATAAACATTCTAATTCCATGAAAGACATTATATTTCTTGACCAGGTAGGCAAACATCAGTTTCTCATGATGAAATTTGACCTACGGCGTTAATTGTTTGTAAGTAAATGTATAAGTAAATTCAGAGTAACACGCAGAAAAGCAGTTTTTTCTCTCTCAGTGTGACAATACAAGAACCTTAGAAGTGTTCACAATGTCAACATGTACATGAAGTGAAATAAAAATTGTTTCGAAAATTGAATATTAGCATGTTGTCTGTGGACTGCGATCTGGATTGTGACGCCGTGTGGCCTTGTGGTTAGTTAAAGGAATGTATCGTCTCTATCTTCGTGGTAGAAGTGAAACCTACGAAACTGCACGACGACACAATTCAGAACAGCACTATCAGCATTTTCATTATATTAGAAATCTCATATTTTATAAACACACACTCTCTCAGACGCTAGATCAAAGAATATTCATTCAGTAAGATGCCGATTCGTAGAATGTTATGTTGCTTATTTCACTGTTTTACTCTTTCGGGACATATTTGTTGGTTTTTAATTTTCGTCTTAATTGTAAACAAATATTTGGCGATGAAGGTCGTTTCAGAGACTCGACGTTTTTCTGGCCATAATCGGACAAGTCATGGTTGTGACGAGCTACTTTCCTATTTTACTTTGCTTGTCTCATAGAATATACCAGTGCGGCGCATTTCCGAAAATGGCACCAGGTCGTTAAGCGAAATATGAAAGTGGCATTCCTATAGACATGCCTTAAACCCTCATGATTATTAGATTCTTGTACAAGTTTACACCTCGCGTGCCTAAATAACAGTTGAGGAAAAGTTTTTATTGAGGCAATAAATGAGTGTGTCGAGAGGATATTCTGATTACAGAATTGACTAATGGCATATTTAATGTTGCACCAGTATACCACCACTTCAGATTAAGGTTGTAGTTGTGGCACTTACGTGGAAGTGCCATGAGTGTTCCTCACGCCAGAGCTTAAGTATCATGTAGTTAGTTTGTAATTAAACTTGAGCAAACTTTGCTGTGTTTTCACATCGGTACTGTAACAGTTACCTTCCGAGAGGAGCAAGGATTTGTTCCACATGAAAATAATGTAGGACGTACCGAAATTCATCTTGTTGCCGATAAATTATAACCGAAGACTTTGTCCCTTATTTCCAGTGAGTTTATTTTTGTTAAATTCTGTAGCTTTGTCAGTTGTATTTTTCAATACCCGAATTATAAATAAAATGTAAATTTCGAAGTCATAGCGTTGTCAAAAATTCTGTTTAATTGTCTTATGGAATCATGTGTTGGTAGTACTTTTTACCAGAGAAACTATCATGCCAAATGCAGGACATTGACGAATAAACAATGACACTGTAATCATGGCATATCTTTCTCTTCTCTTTTTATATTTCTTTACTTTCTCTACTTTTCCTTGAGCGTGGGTTGGGCAAGGGAATGAGTGAAGTGTGAGCACTTAACAGGATATTTGTTACAGTTTCTGTTTCCGTTTCGAGCGAAACGTGGTGAAAGAAACTGATTGACATTGAATAGTGTTTAAACAAAAAAAGAAGAAGAAGAAGAAGAAGAAGAGGTAAGGGAGAAATGGTAGGAACATTTCTATTCTGTTTGATTCGAAAAATATCGAAGAGAAAATGGAATGGAACGGATGGGGAACAAAGGGGTAATCAATCATAATATCTGCGTCACGCTTTCCTTTTGCGATTCTGTTTACCAGAAGCTGACTGGTTGCCTACCGGAAATATTGCCAGCCACGCCAGAGGCGAACAGGCATTAGTCACTGGCTGCTCGGATTTCCGTTAGCAAACATCTAGTCTTCTGCTTTGCAGGAACTGTCAGCGCATGAGCTCAACATAAAACTTGTCAGAAACAAACGTAATGTAAGGATCATATTCACTGCTTTGAGTAAAACCTGCGGTCTCCGTTTTGAACTTTACTGTCTAATTGATGTTGTTGTTCTGGGTTGTGACGCCGTGTGGACTTGAAATAAGTTGTGTTCGGTACGCGTTAAAAATACAAATGAAAAGATAGAATTCAACTGTCATGAAACAACTAGTAAATTACTCTCTCAAGAATGACAAGAAATCTAAAGTATGAAACACGACCGCCCTGATGATAGATACAGTAAGTACCTCTGAAACGTTGGTAAAGTTGTACCAGATTACTCGGCGTGTGCAACCCAGAAGATAGCCTAGCCCATATTCATACTAGCGGCTGTGATGACGTCAAATCTTAGTCAGTAAAAACAGTCGTAAATCTGTAGTGGAAAACCGTAAACTGATAATGTGCACTTTGGCCAGTGTTTGAATAAGGGTTGAAATAAACTTCTAGTGGTGCCCTCTACCAGATAAAAAATTGCACGTGCAAACGAAAATATAATAAAGCAATACCATCAATGAACTTTTTTACCTCGTAAGCGGGAAATGTGTTTTATATTAGATGCATAACTTTTGAAATACTTTTCTGTAAATTTGTATTAGTTCATGCCAGCTTTTTGCTCTACACGAAAAAGATTACTCCATAATTCCCAAAATCCCTCAACAGGAAATGATGTCCAGGCAACCAAAATATGCTTATTGTATAGATTTATGGCTCAGCTATTGGTAACGCACGTTCATGACATTTGGATCATAAGGGAGGCAGTCAAAGAAAGCACATTTGACTGAACAGATAATTTTGAATGGATTTGCAGTAAAGTATACATTCATTACGCGACCATGTAGCAAATAATAAAGTAATTAAGCATCTGGAGATTGAGCGATGAAGGGACGCCAGAAATGAAATGTAATCTGAAAGGAAGCCGAACGTGAAGAATCATAGTATGAAAAGGTGTGAGGTCGGAACAGGCGTATAGATTGATCGCACATGAACGAATAACGAAATAATTGACCAAAGATACTATTACTGGAAGACGTCCATAGGGTAAGAGGAGTTACTGTAACAATTCACTGTTGTGTGTGGTTTATCACGGGAAATAACACACTGTTAAAATTACAAAGTTTTTGGATGAAATGTTATCATATGCAGTTATTATTTTAAGTAATAAATTTTGAAAATTATATTCTAATTTTATGTAAATTTGAAATTTAAAGTTTCTGTATTGGGGGGGCATTCTAGACATGTGTGGAAAACAGCAAATAAACAGGGGGCTGATTGTTGACGGCATTGGATTGTAATAAACTGTGCTTGGCCGATTAAACAACAACAGAATTTTACCACCATTATCCCCTAAACTGATGAGGCATGAAATTGAATTTGTTTATAAATGTTTTCTACAGGAACTCCATCCGTTAACGCTTAGACCTGACGTAGATCGGACGATGTACACATTGGTCGTTCTCACTGGACAGTTGTGTTCGCTGTTGCAGGTGAGGTTGAGAGATTGCTACGTGAATACAGGCAGAACCAGGACATGGTGCGAGGCATCGGCACTCATTTCTATCAGATCATTTACCCAGTTCAGCTGCGACACCACGAGAAGATGGGAATTTCAACCCGGGAGATAGGAGCGCCGAAGGTGAGTCTCGTATATTATTTAAAGCTGCTTGACTGTTGTGGTTACCAAATACTCTGCATGATGCTTGAAGAATCAGTGACCATCCTCACTTATTGCCTGTGACGCCTACTACATATCGACAGCGAATCAGTTATGTCTCAACTAAGGCTAATGGGATTATGTGGCGAGAAACTGAACTACGGACCTCACCACGTTGTTTAATAGCCAGGCAGACATCATCGCTTTCATGCAGGCGACCACTGTCCTGTGTTAGTATATAGTGCGTGGCTGCATATGAAAATGAAGTAGCCGTTTTGTTATGTGGAATACATTACAAAGTGACCGGAGACCAAGAGGGAGGGAGTAAGCCAATAAGCAGACCGGCAACAACTTGCCGCAAGCAATTTTTGCTGAGGAAAGGATGTGACGTGTGAGAGCAAATATCTGGACTGCATAATGAAGTCAGACTGATAAGCTTCGTTTAGTTCGGTTTAATATAGTGGTTCTGTGATCTTTCTCGACCACTGGATTTCAGCCTGAGACACATATTAAAGAGTCACTGGATTGAATGCTAATGCAGTCAGTACTTTAGCTTCTTTTCGATATGGATGTTGTCTGTCTTCTATAAGGCGACTTAATCTTTATACGGACTGTGCAAGGTTTGAGGTTCTCACAACGGTTCTGAGTTACGGCATCGGTACGTAGGTATCAACAATTCGGAGAAGCATTCTGTCTCCATCTTCGGGGTTAATCATCCTGTCATTCGACACTATATCTCTCATAGACTGGTAGTTGATGCTACAGACAGACGCTTGTCTCGTGGAAAAAAATTGATTCGTCAATTGGATTTGCAGACTTTGGTGATCGTTCGTGATTTTGTGATGCCTGTATTATTTTATGCCAATGTCAGAATATATTGTTGGGATTTCATTGCTGCAAGCTGGTTGTTACTTGGTTGAGAAGAGGCATGTTATTTATATTCATGTCTAATTACTGAACATTTATTACTATTTTTATTAAAATCGGGAATTGAATTGGGTTGAATTGCTGTTATTCAGGGTGATTCTCTCAGCCCAAATGTGTTCCTGCTGTCAATGCAGTCACTACCAGCAGTGACATCTGTAATAAAGATTGCGTTTTGTTTGCAGATATTATTCATCCTTTATAATAAAACATTTGTTCTGTTTTCTCCTATCCCCGTGTTGTCTTTTCATTGTATTTAATTGTTTTTTCTTTATTTTAGTGCTTTCCTGTAATTGACTTTTCAGATTTTGTCACGCACACTAAGAAATGAGTTAAATTAAATTGTTGTGTTTTCCGCTTAAATCGGTATTTTGACTATATGTATTTCGTCTGTGCTGAACTAGACCACCTTCACGAGAATTCTTCGGTTCATTGTGTTTTCTCTGAATAAGTCCGTGGAGCAGATTCCTCTTTGATAAGGTAACATTCGCTCGTCTAGTCAAGATATTCTTTCCTATTATGGTGCCTGAAGTTCCGTCGCTTTGTTCACAAAATCCGGCCACGTTCGAGGCCCTGTGTAACGTTTCCTACCGTGCAGGTTAGGGTTTCAAGCCCCCTGAAAAACCTCTTGGGATCACCCGTTGTCCCGGTTTATTTAATATATTTGCGGCTACCTTCCATATCTGGGGGACGCCTGCATCCGTAACCCAAGGACGAGCTACGCCGTGGTAAAAAGGGGCCCACATGAAACGGAAATGAAATTAATGGGTAATCAATCCCAAGTTTGTTGCGTCTACCGTTTGAGTTGGTAAATATATGTTTGGAATATCAAGGCCGACGAGATAAGCAAAACTGTATTGATGTTTTTTTTTAAAATGCCGATTTTTTTTTTCTTTCGATTAATGTATTTTAAATTCGTTTATTTCTCAGTTTCTAACCCAGCGCAGTGTTAAGGCCGTATTTTTGTACGTACGAACTTCGTCTTTGACTCCCGTATGTTACCCTTTCCTTTTGTGATGTGACACACTCATCAGAGTCACGTGAAAGGGCAGGAGTGGCCTTTCTTGAAAAGAACTTTTAATTTTCTGTCCATCATGGCCTTGGTTTCCGACATCAGTTCCATGTATGACTTGAAACTTCGGCACATTTTTCAAACTAACACTCGTATTTAATCCACGCTCTGCCTCCATATTTGAAATATGATATTTTCTACAAAATTCTGTCATATAACTGAATCTTAGAATACCAATATGATTGCAGAACGATAAAGAAGTACCAAGTCGGTTTTGTTATCAGGGGATTATAAAACGACTTTACGAGATCAGATTTTTTTTGGATAATACAACATCTGAAGGGGTAAAATCATTAAAATGCAAGAAGGAACTTTTTTTAAAGATAGAGCTCTATAATTCATAATAGGAAATTTTGGATTAACTTTTCTGCGAAGTGTTGGTGATTGGATTTCTCAGTCTGTGTGTTAATTCGACGGCAATCCCGAAGGAAAAGATGATGTGACGGGGTGGGGGTGGGGGTGGGGGGTTCCTGCAGCCTCACTTGCTGTTATTCCCCCTGCTTCGAGAGTATCGAGCAAAATACGGGCCGTTGCTCCTATTGATGATGACGGCGACCTAAGGAAGACTTATTTCCTTTTTATGTCTTCGAAGTCATCACTAGTACCACTGTGCAGCCAGATACACAAAGGAGAGACGCGTGTTGCTTGGAGGGAGGCTCGATTCCTTCGTGTTCAAGTTTTTTATCGAGACGTTCCTATTTTTTATTCTTCCTTTTTTTCTTTTTCATTCTTCAATTTCTTTCTTTCTTTCTTGCAGACAAAAGGCTATTTTTGTTCGAAAGGATAAAAGAAATAAAGAACTGGAAAATATGTAGGGACTTGCATTGAAACACAAACCTTCACAGGCTTTGTTCGGCCACTGACATACGCGCTGTAAAGCAAGGTCTTATTATGTATTCCTTCAATGTGCTTTTCAATAGAATTTCCTTAACCAAAAATCTGTATTAGTGACCTGTCCACCTTATAGGGATTTAGATTCTGGTAAGGAAAATGGACTGAATTTATGGTATCTGCTTAATGAATGGCTACAATACGTCGGATATCTGTGAGTCAGCCTCTCTGCAGAACTCATAAAAAAGTTTTTATGCCAAATCCAGTGGATGTGATATCAGGTTATGTGGCCACTGGTTGGTGGCACCACGATATATTTGACTTCAGTACGCGACGGACAGACAGGCAGACAAACGGGACGTGCCTATTAGGATTTCTTCGATGACGCTAAAGTGTAAAGAATGCCAAAAGTGAATGTAAACAAACTTTTTTTTCCTGAAGATTGAATGTAGCACAGTATAGTTTGGTAATTTTGGCCTACGTTTCAGATGTGTTTATTGCTTCTATCATCAGGTCCTTATAATGGAGGTAGAAAGCTCTTTTCAAATGTTGGTCATTGTCTACCATACTACACGGCGCAACACCCCAGAAGACAGCCATCTTCATACTCGCCGCTGAGAACCTGAAATCTCACCGTGCTTACACACGTCCTTAAGGGACGTTTCAAATCTTTGTCCACTTTTAGAGGTAGGTTGTACTATAATGTGTTTGCAAGAGATTTAGCTCCTATTTTATAACGCTAAAATGTTCTAGCACATCCGTTGCTGCTCAGCCTGTCTATCCAAGGTGGAATTTGCTTCCTCTTTGTTTATGTATGTTTGCAGTTCACCTCTGGAACATAAGGTCGTTCTGCTGTTCCTTTTTGGGTACCGAAGGGAATACATGCTCTTCCTTTATGGAGAAGAAAATTTGGTTTTCGAGTGTTTTATTTATAGACTTTTCTTTTGTTCCGTATCTACTTCTCGGAACTCTTCCTCTCTCGGTCTTTATACCTCAAGGGATAAGTGAGGCAAAGCGTTGGATACTTTCTATCTGATGAATTTGTTGAGACTTTGGTCTGAATTAACTTCTCCGCCTGGTAAAAAATGTTCTCTCTAAAATAAAAGCAGATAATCCTCTAACAATTATTATTAATTCAATTCATTTAGTAGAGTGCTTGGCAACAGCCAAAAGATGCCAATAACATCCAAGCATTAATAATAATAATAATAATAATAATATATTCGAAAGACGCTGATGTAAAAAATATAATGCCTCACGCGAAATCTGTTTAATGCATGTAACACGTATTAAAAAACAAAATGTATTTCAGAAATAGCTGCTGCATTATGTACCTCAGGGGCAAAGTTTGTCTCAGGTACATAGAAATAAATACTCTGTAAAATGGAGAATAGTTGGAATAATGATAATATTAATACGATCAATTTAATTTATTTGTATCTGTCACTAGTCACTGGTAGACCAGTCATACGGACAGTAAAACGGATTCTTGTTGTATTGCAAAGTAAAGTTATTTGAACAGTCGATGTGTACTAGTCCTTTGAAGTCCAGTAGTAACTATGCTTGGCCTTCCAACTGCTGTAACAATCGATATCTCTTTATTTTCATTTATTGGTTTCCTTTGATTCTCATTGTAAACAGGAGGCATTTCCTTAAACAGCATTGACAAGTTTATCTCTGTAATGGTGAATTTCTCTATTTTCTTTGCGGTACAGACTGTACTATTAAGTATTATCTATTATTACTGTTACCATTACATATAACTAATAAGAATGCAGAGTCTGCAGAAGGTGATAACAAAATCCATATGTACAAAGCTGATAATGATCTGAATCCAATATCCTACGTAATGCTACAAATCTGTAACAACGTGTTACTTTTGTAGTCTATTTCAGATACTCATGTTCACAGGACAGATGAGCAAACACACAAACTAAACATACATATCCACGTGTAAGTATATGTGGTACGTACTGGAACTTGAAAGGACTACTTTAAATGACACTAGTTTTGTACCCAAATCTCGAGTTTAAAGTCTATCGACTTGGTACTGCTGATAGCATGCTAATTTTATTGGAATGCGCTCAGCTGGTCAGAGTACAGAGTAGTCGCTGAGTTAGACAAGGAATTCCCCACCTTTTACGGAACCACAAGT